TCAATCCAAAAACAAATAAACTTAGACCAAATGGAAAAAATGTCCTTCAGCATGGCACTCGACTGCCAGATGGGTCTAATTATGACCAACGAGGTCCTACAAAATCCTCAGCTATCAGAATCATAAATAGTCCCTTGAGGGTGAGGACCGCGACAAGATCCCTCAAAGTCTATTCTGCCCCTAAAGTCTCCAAGGATGGACCTGTACATTGCATCCAAATGTCTGAGCATCCTAGTTAATGCATTACGTGAATATCTCCTCGACGTTCATGTGGTCCTGTGGCTAGGAAGAAAAACGAAATAAAGCCAGAGGAAATTTTTTGAATAATGTCCTTTTCACTTCTCTCGAACCACAACATTCGGCGGGGCATGCTGTTTGAAGACATTATATATCACCATGGGTCCCCGATGGGGAATAAAAAGAGAAGTCGGTCAATAAAGCTTGACATACAGTGGAATTCTCGACAGTCTCAGAACTTCCCCAAAACAAGTGAAAATATTCTTAAGCACTTCAAAAGGCCATCTGCTCAGTTTCATCGCAAACTGACATGTCTAAGGCAGTGTAGACAAAGAAACAATTTTTTGAAAAATTAGTCTCTAACACCTTGAAACAGACCCCATAACTAGAGATCTATTTTCGGTACATCAAACAGCTGTGGGACCATGCCATTGGATCCGACAATGTCGAAAACCCCTATGGGTCAAGTTTCGACTTAATCGGGCACTTCAGGACAAAGTTATGGGCAAAATACCAAAAAGGGGTAGGCTGCACATTATTCCCATGCGCCCTCACTAAACCAAATCACCATTAAAGCCGATTGTTTTTGCAGCCTCAGGCAGTGATTTTCAGGGTCCATATCTCACTGTTCTCGAGTCGGATCATGCTCAAATTTTGCGAGCGTGTTCGTCTCGTCAAGATGAGCGTTTCGATATATGGCAAGCCCCATGACGACACCCGACCATGGAGAAAGCTAGAGAGAATTTGTTGATCCATGAAGAAAGTTACAGGAAAATCAATAGCAACACGCCTCGCTTGAGTGGCCAAATCACGGTGCTCGTGTATCAGATTGACATGAGACCAGTTCCATTGCATGCGTAAGGTTCAGGGCTATCATTGGTCCGAACCCCGTACACGATGAATAGTCGGATTTTCCACATGAAGGCGTCGAAGTGAATGTAAATTTCGACGTCGAAATTTCAGATTTCGACCAAAACTTCAAACTTGCAAAATCTTCATCAGGGCATGAAATTTAGCTGTGTTTATTGCCACGCGATCATAACAGTATGCTCAGTGCAATACAGTGAAGAAATCACAAAGAAATGTCAAGAAATGAGCACACAATCGATCCGAAGTTTTCAAGATTCATTCAAATTTCAAGTCACATGATCATGGCCTAAAACACTAACCATGGCTCAAAGTGGGTATCAAATCGATCGTCATGCCGAGCCCTGTAAGAAAACAATCATCTTTCAATCAAATGGGCACCAGAGCAACCTCGGATCATCCATGGAAAATCACACACATTCTAGGGCAGCAACAAGGACTATTTTTTAATTCCATGTATTATTAGGAAGGGGCAAATTTATCATTTTGTACCATTTTTATAATTTCTTTTAATTCAATTAAATCTTAATTATCAGCAATTAGGTTTAATTTTTATCAATCCATCCATGTTTGGGCAAAAGATTATATATATCACGTATTATCATTGTACAAGGGCCAAACTTTGCTTAATAAAATTTCCATCTTTCTCTTATTCTTGGGTCACGTTTTGAGAAAAAAAGGAAGGAGAGAGAAACTTTTGGGTCGGTACCCTGGGCTTAAGGTAAATCTCTTTCTCTCCATTCCCTTCTTTTCTCTTTTCGGTTTTCCTTTCCTCTTCTTCTTTCTCTTCTTCTCTTTCTTCTTCTTCGTCTGAGCCTTTCTCAGAGGCCATGCACGACAGTGGTAGTGTCGTGCATGCCTCTTTCTTTCTTCCCCCTCCTGTGGTTTCGTAGGTCATGCATGGCGATGGCAGCGCCATGCGGGAGAATCTTTTCTCTCTTCTCATGGGTTGTAGATGGCACTGCTTATCGACGTCTACAGGCGTGTCTTTGGCATTCTGCGCAAGCGCAGACGGCGATAGTCATCACCATCCTTGAACATGTTTTTTGTATCCCACACCTATCGCAGACGTCAATGCTTATCATCGCCTGCGAAAGGTTGAGGTGATGCCTATCGGTGCCCTTGGAGGTCTCGCCTTGCCTCGTGCTTATCGCTGACGGCGATACCTATCGCCTCCCTCGAAGGCGTCACGGCAGTGCCTATCACCGCCCACGAGGGTCTCGCCCTGCCTCGCGTTTGTTGTAGACAGTGATACCTATCGCTGCCTGCGAAGGTCTCGCTCTGCCTCACGTCTCTTGCAGACGGCAATGCCTTCTGCAGTCTGCAAGCTTCTCTTGTGCCTTGTGCCTATCATCGCCCGCAAGTTTCTTTTTACGTGCTCTTTGCCTATAGCCACCCGCGAAGGGTCATGCTGTCTTCTCGTGTTGCCGACGGTGATGACTAACGCCGTCTACACTTCACTACCCGTCCCTTCGCCGTGAGCAACAGTGTCCAGCGCCGTCTAGGGACCACGACACTATTACTCCATGACTATGGACGGCGATGCCTAATGCCATCAGGACCTTCCTCCCTCGTCGTCTTGTGTCTTCTCTCTGTTCTCTTTTCTTCTCTTCACGCTTGATTAAAGGATAGACTCAGTCTAACACTGTCATAGTGGTCTAGCTGTTGACCAGTATTGCCGTCGTGCTGATCTAGAGTACCATGCCCATCTTGCTGCCACACCAGATTAAGACAGTCATATCGGCCTGGTTTCAAGTAATACTGTCGTCGCATCGATCTGAGTTACCGTGCTCGTCTTGCTACCACTCCGAGTCAGTCACTATACTGGTCCAGCTATCATTCTATTCTCGTCCCCTTGTCAAGTTCTCTTCTCTTTTCTCTCTTTATTTGAACCTTCTTCCTCATCATCCTAATTTCTCATCATCCTAACTTCTCATCTTCTTTACCATATGAATTTGCATCGTCCTAAGACAAGGGTGGGTCCCTCGGCCCACTTGTCTTGCAAATTAACCATGATAGTATTATATAGAAAACAAGGAGATTGCAGGTTAAGGGAGGCGATTCCGAATCAACTGAAGCAGCTGAAGGGCTTTCCGTTGTGATCTAAGAGGCCGCCCGCACGAGTCAGCTCGAGTAAGTCACGGACCCAAGTGAGGTTGGTCCCCACCTCACATTTTAAAATTCTTCTCTCACTAGTTGGGCACCTGCCCTTGTTTTGTGAATAAGGTTCCCGAGAGAGCGGTCTCAGGTCCCAGGTCTTCCGAACCTGAGACACGTGTCACCCGATCACCTAGATCCAGGGAGGCGAGATCGAGGCATCCGACCAATAGCCTCTAACTGGGTTCAACTTGAATGAGACAGTATTTCTACTTCTCTAGGTAGACTGCTTTTTAAGCCTCAAAATTTTGTTTCGACATCATTTAGGACCCAGATGGAGAGAGTAGCAGTGAGCTAGGTTTTCCATTATGTTGGAGGCTCATTGAGTACCGTTCTCTAGGATATGAAGCTGATACAAGGACTTACTGGATTGTCATGGTTAAAGGTGATCTTTCACTGCAATTAACCAAGACAACTCAATAATAGTTGTCATTTCATAAAGTTCGCATTGATTTGTCACTGTCCAGTTGGAATCTCATTCCTAGCTTGAGGAGAAGCGCGTTACAATGCTCTTTCTCGAAAATCAAGATGAACGAGACCTCCCTGTAGTTAATTCAGTAAGAGTGAGCTTCCACCATGGTTATTATCCACAACGGGTGAGGTAGCATGAGCTCAAATCCACCAGGGTCAAGGATTTCTCATGAAGACTCAATCTGGAGTAGAGCTGTAATTTGAAGATTATGGAGTGGGCTTTAAAGGTCCCTCATGATAACAATTCACGCTGCCCTCCTAATGGATGATGAAGGCTAAAGAGGCAAAATGGTTGGTCGAATATTATCAAAACTTAATTTTCCACCTCGAATATGCACTGCATTTAAAAATGGATGGTGTAGATTGATAAGGTTATATATTTTCCAGTTTAGATAGTATTTTGATTTATTAAGGCGCAAGGGAAGCATGTGTCCCTTAAGCATCAAACATCCATCTTTAAGATGGATTGCATAGAGGGGACCCGACCAAAACAATTAACATTGCAAGAAAGTTCCAAAAAAAGAAATTTGTAAATTTAAAATTTTATTTATTTTTCATATTCATGGTCTTCATGGTTGAGAATATCTATCCCTAAAGATTTGGATTTGAAATCCATAATCGTGAACCGATGAGTCAGTGGACTCATCACAACTGGACAAAGATTTCTTTTTAGCTAAGTTATATATGCAAATGATGCCATTTCACACAGATATCTACCCAACTGCGGACCGACTATTATACTAAAACGTAATCATTACCCATAAAGGTATTCTTGAGTTTATTGTTTAGAATGGAAAGACCCATTCTACTGGATGTTATAATATAATAGACATTCTTGGCTCATCTTTGGACGCACGAAACATACCATATGAATTTTAACCTGTTATCAAGTTGAGATGAAAACTACAGACCATTGAGAAAATCTGTCCTTAATTTGTCCTTAATGAGAGAGGTCAGAAATCCCAATTTGGTTCAAAATTGGTCCCAGATATCAACAACATAGACTGAATCCTGCACAATAGAAATCTGAAATTTGCACGATCTTGGGAACTGTTTCTCTAAATGTTTGGATTAATGTATGGAACAGCAGATAGAGTTTGTCTTTTCATTTTCTCTGCATAATATATTAAGTAGTAAATCTTGTTTGATATTAACATATATATGTTCCTTTCTTTGGATGTATTCTGAGAAACTAACTCTAAGTGTTAATCTCTTAGGGTATGTTTGTTGCGGGGATTGACACGGCATCGACAACCTTGGGATCGGCAATGGCAGAACTTATGAAGAACCCAAAAGCAATGGAGAAAGCCCATAAGGAAATGAGGCATGCATTGGGAAGAAAAAAGGTGGAAGAGAGTGACATATCTCACTTAGAGTATATGAAGTTAGCACTCAAGGAGACCCTCAGGTTACATCCTCCAGTACCGATGTTGGTCTCAAGAGAATCCATGGAGAAATGTACATTAGAAAGATATGAAATCCCTGCCAAAACAAGAGTTTTTGTGAATGCATTGGCTATAGGAAGACATCCAAACCACTATGATGACCTGGAAAACTTCAACCCGGAAAGGTTCTCGAATAGTATGGTGGATTACAAGGGCCAAGATTTGATTTCATTCCTTTTGGGGGAGGCAGGAGAGGTTGCCCAAGTATTTTATTTGGTATGGTTATTGTAGAACTTGCTTTTGCCCAACTTCTTTACTACTTTAATAGGGACCTTCCTAATGGAATGGCACCAGAGGACTTGGACCTGACAAAGACAATTGGAATGACCGTGGCTAGGAAGATGACCTAATTTGATCCCGATTCCCCACCTTCCTAAGACTGAATAGCTTTATTTACCAATGAACATGTTCTCTATGATTTGTGATTGCGAGCCTTCTTGTGAGTTGTACTTCATAAAGGAACATCTGCAATGAAAATAACAAAATGCCTAGATATGAAGGATACAATTTTTATAAGGCGTCAGCCATAAAAAAATACAGTACAACCAAATCATGTCCAAAGATGTAATTCTAGTGCGAGAGACCCTCACAATAAACTAAAATTCTATACTCATCCAAATGATAAAATTTAAAGCTTCAAAACTGGCACTGATCAAGCAGATTTATAAACACTTGAAACTCTTGAAAATGAATTGCTCAGATAATGTATTACATGATGAATTATTTTCATGACTTGAAATCTTTTTTCATTTTCTTTTTATATATATACATATGTCTCGAAGTTGAGATGATCAATTAAAGGGTTTTTATGTGTCGGATCAACGTTTTCTAACTATTTTTATAGAAGCATCGTGTTTCTATATTATAAGGTTGACACCTCATATAAAATTTTTCCATATATAAATCTATATTTTTTGGAAAAAAATATGGGGAAAATAAAGATGAAAAAGACCAATATCATAATTGAAAAATCATAAGAATTGAAAAATCATAAGAAATTCAAGAGCCAGGATTGCACTATAACCTTGGTAAGCTTGTAAAGGAACACTGTACATATCCAAAGAGACTTGCTGGAAAATTTCTTGAAGCATTGAGGTCACAACTAACATAGAGCCACATGTGAATATAACACAACCTCATCTCCATATACTTCATAGAAAGTGATCGAGGGTCATGGTAACGCACGGAATCCTAATAAGTTCGTGCCTTGGTGACCTTCCAAGACAATTTCCCTGGAAAAAAGACACTGCATTGTACTATCGATCGCACCTAACCTAGGCATACCCATGTGCATTTGTGCTTCTTGGATAGTTCTAGGAAGCTATATAGAGAATAACCCTAAGGGGCTATGCATGATGACTGGTGCGTCATGCATTCTTATTTTTCTACTTGTATGTAACATACGTAATAGGTACGTATATGTAACATACTTTTTTTTATACATACATGGGGACTTCTTTGATGTTCTTATTATCCCACCTCATGTCACTTTTGAGGGAAACAAGAGACATAATTTGGGGCGACGATATTAATCGGCATCGATCATTAGGAATTGGAGCTTTTATGGAGCTCTGTATCAAATCTTGTATGGAGAAGTCACCCATGATTCTCTTTCTTTTCTTTTGACCACTTGTCATGGAATTTGATTAAACTGAGGGTGCCAGAATGCTTTTACGAATACTAAACATTGGATTTTGATTTAGTTTTAACTCTACATGCCACTAAACAATCAAATGTGTAGAAATCTACCTCTTTTTTACCTCAAAGAGAAAATGGTAAAGAGAGAGTGAAAGTGTGATTTAATTTCTTGATGATTCAGCCCATGCTGGTTGTCGGCTGGGCTTCTTATTCTCAAGCTTTTCCTTCTTTCTTTTTTTTTCTTTCTATTTGTTTTGCTAACACCGATACAACTCCATTGCTTGAATAAACCCTCTCTTCCCAATCATCTGCATCACAACTTAGGTCTCACGGCAATCATAGAGGAGAACTTATTAAAAGGCAACCCTAACTTTAACCTCGTCAACCAACTGAATTCGCAATAGCGAGACTGTTGTGCAAAACTTAGAGAGAGAGATGGAACTTTGGTACCATGGAATATTGTATCTTAATTCTTAAAAAAAAAAAAACACGCGTATAGAAAGAGTGATTTATAAAAGGATGACGTTTTTAGATTTGTTTGAGATAAAAAATAAGGGTAAAAATGCGTAAAATTGATTAAGGGGTTAAAATATATAATAGATAGAATGTCTATACTTTAAGACAAGTTTTCAAACTTTAAGTCTATGGAGCAATGAAACTTAAAAAAAAAGATCTATAGAGCTATTTTTCTAAAACTTTAGTCCAAACAATGGGTTTTCCAATTGAAATTTTAAATTTTTTTTTTTGGTAATTTATTTTTAAATCAGTTTGTTGTTTTGAAATTTTTAAATTTTGTATTTTTGGGTAATTCATTTTTAAATATTTTTTTTGTTTTTGTTAGGTAAATTGGAAAAAAAATGTATTAATAGAGTGGTGTTAAGGATAGGAATAGAAAAAACAATGTGATGACTAGAGTGACAGATGCTACTACCACTACCCTAAACCCTTCCTAATAAATTTTTAAATCTATTACAAGAAGGAAGCATTTTATGTCAGAAAAAGTGACGTATTTTTAGTATTAGATCTTGGACGAATTTGACCTGTACATTGAAATCTCATGCCCAATGCATCTACAACATCTTCCAATCGTCCAAACTTCCAATTCCATATTACCTTGAAAAGATTCCACTGCAACTTCCTTGCCTCTCCAACTCACTAACCTTCTTTAAAACCCTAATCTCACAATCTATGGCTCTTCAATTTGGTCTCTGAGCCTCCATTAACACCCTCATTGGGAACATTGTTCTTCCCTGTAAAAACCAAATTGAAAGGGTCAGAAAACACAATCAAATAAAAGTACCTTGCACGTTTATGCACACAGTTAAAAACCAGCAATGGAAGTTAAAAAACCTAAAAACAAATGTACATGAATTTGAAGGAAATGCATGCTGCAAAAATGATAAAGAGGGAAAATCCCTAATTTCGGGAAGGAATTGAAACTGGTGCTAAACCTTGGGTTAGCTATTGATCACGATGAGCATCGACCTTGGTGAAGCCAAAGGGCCAACCCCATGTTAAGCGTTCAGGGCCTCAAACTATGAATATGAATTCATAGAATTCCTAAAGAGAAAGAGAAAAAGGGAGTTGCAAGAGCGAGGAGAGGAGAAGAAGAATGCATGGGTGTGTTGGGTTTTGCAGGAGAGACTATGGAGGTGGTGAGGTGAGTAGAGAGAGAGTAGAAAGAGGCAGGTAGAGAGAGAAAAAAAGAGGGTAGTAGAGAAAACGGGCAGGTAGAGAGAGAGAGGGGAAGGGTAAGTATAGAAACTTTTTCCATCTATAATTCCCTATTTTTTAAGAAAAAACTATAAAACTAAAATTGGGGCGATAAAAAAAAAAGGCTACTAAATTGCGAAACCATTATTTAAGAGTAATTACTCTTGTGGTGAACTTCTCTAAGAATTTTTCATTTTGTGAACCTCCTTAAAAAACTATTTTAAGTAGTCATCTAAAATCAAAATTATTTAAAATTTATAAATTAAAATTTGAAAAATCTTGAAACTAATTTTTTATTTTAAAATTATAATTTGAAATAAAAATTTAAAAGCATTGGAAAATAAAATAGAATGGCTATAAAAATATAAAAATAATTAAAATAACATACTAATAAAGTTTTCATGAAGAAATTTTGATTGAAAAAAGTTTTATGAAAAACTTGAAAATTGTAATTAAATAAAACTACGCATAATAAGAAATAAAATAATCAAGACATCATCATCATTAAAGCTTTTTCTCAACTATTTGGGGTCGACTGTATGAATTTTAGTATGCTATTCTACTCTAGCAAGGGTCATGCCCTTAGTAAGGTTATCAAACTAGAATAACCACGTCAAACTCATTTGTCATAATACATTAGTATTTATATATATTTCTCCAAAATTATGTTAGTTTATAAGATCTTCACATGTCACAACAATATTAAGCACCAATGAAAAGTTACAAAAGTTTCCTCAATTCAAAATTTCAAACATAAGAAATGAATTTTGTGGAACATGATAATTATTAACAATCACGAGATCTCTTTTCAAGTACTTTAAAGAAAAATATCCTCAAATAAGATTGTGAATCAAAAATTTTATGAAGTAGGTGTTTATGAAATTTCAATAATAAAAATAAAAAATACCTTCACATTGGCAATGTTTATATGGTATGATATCACTCTAAAACATACTCTACCATACAACTGAAGTAGTACTATATTAAAAATAAATAACAACTTACCTCAAAGATGAGTATATTCGTTGAGCATCACAAAATAGCAAGAGTAACTGCATAAAAATAATATAATTATAAAAGAGTAATGATCCTATAGGACTCTGCCACATCCCAATGGCATAGGACCCCTATGGATCACCGTTAGATTTGATTCTCAATCTGAAGATTTGCGATGATAGTTGACCAGTCAACTTATATAGAGAACAAAAAAAAACGTCAACGAATAACCCTATATACTTTCCAATTGTGACCCTCTCTCTCTATCTCACCCAATTCTCCTCTCTCACCGCATTCCTTCTTTCTCTTTCCTGGCTGACTCAGGGAGAAACCTACACACCCACAACCCTCTATCTCTCTCTCTCTCATCCAAACTAGAGAAACCCAGATACCCTCTTTCTTGTTCTTTTACAGGTGGGTAATAGCTTTAAATCAAGGCTGTACATATGGGACTTACCCATTAAGTTATAGAGAAATTCAGTGTCATCAAAAAATTTCAAAAAATTTCCAAAGCAATTGTTAAAAGAGACATTGAAGAACCTCAATGAAGATTACATAGTTCTTCTAGTATAGAACCAATAAATGAATTAGCGAGAGGTCGAGATAGATCAACAATGGAAGATAACCTAATTTTAGAGAAATCAAACCACTAATTCTAGAGAAATCAAACCGCTAAAACTGTTATTGGACACACCATTGACACCCAAGATCCCACACTGGCTGGGATCTCGCCTGAGAACTGATTTACAGTGAAATTCAGCCTCTGTATATATTGTTTCCTGTGATTATTAGGGTTTCTAGCTTATTCTAGGGACAAAGATAAGGAGGAAGGTTCCATTCAAATAAGTTTCTAGCAATGTCAAGGGTTACCAGGTCAGAATTCCGGCCAAGAATGGCCGGAAAGTTGGCCAGAGATATTGTTCCCATAAATCACGAGGTTCTTCAGCTCGTTGTTCAACCTCAGAACCTCAGGTATTAGACTTTCAAGATCGTTCATGTAAAG